CAGCTCCACCCCCTGAGAGCTGTCACATTTTCAACAACCAGATGTTTGCAACTATGTATACAAAACATCCAGATGATTGACTGAAAATTGAAGCATTTGTCATGATATTTGTCATGGTGCTAAGACAGCTTGTGCTGAGGACTGTATTTTTGAACTGCTTCACTCATCTGCCTGTAACAGAAAGAGGCTAGCAGATTTTAAAAAAGAAATAAAACACTTTCAAGAAAATTCATGTTATAGTCAAAGGATATATTCATTACTGGATATTTTTCCGATTATTTTATTGTCTTTAATTTAAAGGGATCCTCAGCTCACTAGCTCTTGAAATGTTCCATTGTGAAATCTAGAGAAGAAAACAAACAAACAAAAAGATCTGAGTTTGTTACCCTAGAATTATGGCTTCATCCTGCTTCTATTAACTACATGGCTGTCTTTGCTTCACACATGAAATCCCTCACACATGAATTCTTCCACCCTAAACAGAGAGAACCCTTTACCCTTGCTGATGTCCAACTCTAAGAATACATAGCATAGTCTATCACCATAGTTAAGAGTCCAGGATGACTAGCTTTGTTCAATATACAATCTCAGAATGACCCTCATTTCTTCATTGGTAAGGTGAAGATGATAGGTTTCTGCTCATAGGGTTATAAGTGGGTCAGTGCAGAGTGCCTAACAAAGTGCCCAGCACATGCTAAGCAGAATATTTAGTGGTTCCCAAAGAACAGAGTAAATGTTATAGTTCTTTCTTATTTCAAGTAGGTATGAGCCCAGACCACCTCTCCCACAGCTACCACTTAATTCTGCTCACTGAGCTAGGTCTACTGACTCTCATTGCTTATTGAGTTCATGCTATGTCTCAGCGGTTTTTGTCCGTGCCACAGATTTTTGCATATTTATATCTTATAATGCAGACATGTCTTTGCTTTCCCAACTAGATTGCACTTTGGAATTTTGATATCCTTTCCAATATTATTCCTTCTTCTAAAAGATGTCTTAATTTTTTGTCTTCATTCGTCCACTCAACAAAAAATTTTATTCATTGTCCATTACGTGTAGGCCCTTGTAATCTACAGAAGCGACCAAATAAACACAGTCTCTGGATCTTCTTTTAAGCAGAGAGATACACAAAGTAATCGGTCAAGTAAACAGAAATATATCTAATGGGAGTGTTAAGAACAATATGTGCTATTTAATACATTAGGCAATTCAGTGAAGAACTAAGGAAGAGAGGGAAGAATTAACGCAAAACTTTGGGGGATGAGAGTTCCACGTGGAAGATGCAGACAAAGCAAACTGGCTAGGGCAAAAGAATGCATGACTTGTTGAAAGCACAGCTAGAGGACCACTGTCTAGAGTGGAGCAAGTTGGGAAGGGTAGCCCATAAAATCAGAAAAGCATCAAAGGACAAGATAATATAGGCTCATCGGTCATTATCAAGAATTGAGTGTTTCTTATGAGTGGAGTAGAAGGACTTGGAGTCGATTTGATGGAAATGCTAAAATGTTTATACTTGCCCTGGTCAATGTGGCTCAATGGTTAGAGTGTCCATCTACACTCAGAAGGGTCATAGGTTTGATTCCCAGTCAAGGGTACTTACCTGGGTTGCAGATTTGATCCTTGACCCAGGTTGGGTTGTGTACAGGATGTAGCCAATTGCTGTCTCTCTTTCTTCTCTCTCTCTCTCTCCCTCTCTCCCCTCCATTCTCTCTAAAAAGCAATGGAAAAAATATCCTTGGGTGAGAATTAACAAAGCCAAAAGTAAAAATTAAGTGTTAATTTGGCTCATTGTGGGGAGAATGGATTTGGCTACAGGGGTCAAGGGAAGAAGTTAAAAAATCTCTAGGAAATACAATAATCCAATGATAACAACAATTTAATTACTATATATTAACGTCCTGTTTGGCATGATGGCTATTAATGAATATACTTTATCATCTTTGTTAAATCATACATTCTGTATGAGCCAGGATTACAAGAGATTTATATTTTTCGGCATTATAGAGTTCTTAAACCAAGAAAAAAGATTTTTGGTGTCCAGAGAGTGCGAAACGACATTACCACCAATTCCCACCCTTCTTCTTCCCCACCCCCATACCATAATTACCTTCCTTCCCTCCAGAATTCCTTCTTAATACAGCATACACATGTCAGGCGGATCCCTTTGTATTGTAAAGAGGGAAAACAGGGTAACTCTGGAGGTAGAGATGTAGAAGACATAGGTCTTATTCTCAAGAAATTAGATTTGCATGTTTGGCATATTTCATATAATTTATCTAATAATCTTATAGTTTACCTTATAGTACATATACTCTATATGAGTATTTTATGATTTTTATATAATAGAAAGCCTTGCTACCCCCCAATTTGTAAAATTCCATATATTATCATTTGAGTTATTTAAATTCTAACTGAGTAGTGTAATCTGAGAATAATTCTATAGCAGTGCAAGGGAATATAAAAAAAAGTGTTTGTTCCTTTTCCTGAGTCTCATTCAAGGGCTTTTCTAATGCATGTCTTAGTAAGGTTTGGGTTGAGACCAATAGCAATTATAAAATATAGTTCTCTAAGCTCAGAGGGCATCAAGGGCTCGTTTGTGTTTTTTTTTTTTTTTTTCATTTTCACAGTTCAGAACTTAATCTCTGTTCTTCCTTGATGGTTCCTGATGTGGCAGAACAGAGGAACAGTGCTTGTGCTAAGACTAGGCATTACAACCAGATCAGGCCTAGGAAAACTCCGGTGTCTAAAGGCTGTGAATCTCCGTGCCCTCCTAACACCCCCCACGTGAAGGTAAAGCTGCTTCCGCCTCTAGCGAAAGGGAAATGCCAGGCAGAGTGTTCAAAATCAGACTTTCATGGTCAAATATCCATGAATAATTAATTTTATGCTTCCTTTAGAATAGGACAGGTTAAACAGCTGGTCACATTCAGTAAATAAGAAATTACTTGCAGTAATTTCTGAAACATTCTAATCATCTTCCCACTTCTGAAACCTATTTTAAAAGTCTTTGATCTGCATTACGGTGGAAAGGACATTGGATGTAGAAATACTAGACTTGATTATAAATTCAACTTTGCCACTCACTACTAGTATGGCTAGGGCAAGTCATGTAACCTAAACATTCCAGTTATTTTCTGGTGGTGAATTAGACATAGTAACTCATACCCCACAAGGTTGCTATGAGCAGCAGTTAGGATAACGTGTGAAGGCCATGAATGCAGAGGTCACACAATAAACACTTTGTGAATTTAGATAGTAAATACAAATACTGGAATTATCACAGCCCTCTTAGTGCTATTTCAGGGTTCTACCCAATGCTAGGACAAGTATGATCTTGTGAAATGGGAAATATGTCTGTGCTATTGCATATTATAAAAAATGGCCATATACTATAGTTGTTTCATTATATCATTAAAGTGGGTTTTATTTTCTTCATTGAATACATAACAGAAAGCTTTGTAATTAACAGTGATCTTTATGACTTCTACTAGTTTGGATGTTGTAGATGGTGAAGTGGGCTGCAAATTAGATTCTGCAGTGTACCCTATTCCCTATTTTTTTCACCCACTGATTAGTTTTATACAGTTGGCAGCAACCCACCCCTGCTTCATTCAGCTTGCAATTTTGTAGCAATTTCAAACACTGTGTTCAATCCCCCAAGGTGTTCTGTGGAAATGCTGTCAAACCATTTTGTTGTATGTGTACTTTCATTCTGTGGCTGTGCTTTGTACTCATTTAAGAGAACCAGTCTTTTAATTTGTATCAGAACGTTTTCAAGATAAAACGGAATTCCAGGCCTCAGCAAAATCACTCATATTATGACCGGAGCCTTCTGTTCTAAATCTAGATACAAAGCTATGTTTCTGAATCTTGTTATAGAATACAACTTTGAATAGATGGCTTCAAATCTGGCCTTAAAATCTACTGGCATCCTGCTTGCCATCATCATCTGGTTTCAGCTTACCTTTCCAGTTTCATCTCTCATGGCTCCCTCATAGCGCATGCTTGTTTGTGCGTCCTGGGAATGCCTGCCTCGCTCTCCCCTCTCCTTGGGGTTGCCCACACACAGCACCTCTCTCTAGAAGGCTGTGTCTGCTACTTCCCACTGCTTTAGCTCAGGCCTTTCCTATCCTTCCCCAGAAAGCATTTTTCTATCTCTGAACACCCTTTCTGAGTCAAGTAACCCTCTTTTGTCTCTCATGAGTCTCTAGCTTGAGTTGATAAAATTATTTTTCTTAATGTATAGTATTAACTGCATTTCTTGGTTGTCTTCTTTCCTGGAATAGAAGAACAAAGACAGTACGTTTTGAATCCATAAATAGTAGATGCTTCATGCACATTTATTGGATACATGAATGCCACCTGGAGAAACTTTTGGTCAGTTCATTGAAAAGGCAACATGAATTTGCTACTAACATTGTTATTTTAAAATAACTACATTTAATTATAAAAGCAATTTTATCAGTGAAATGCAGTTAACAGTTTCAGTGTGCAGCTTTAGCACTCTGCAAATGCAGGTGATTTTAAAAATAAACATATATATAGTACTATTCTATGCTTGCTTTCTGCATCTGGTATATTATATTGAGAACTGGATTGGGTTGAATGAGGTTGACTCATAGACCTTTCCTACTTATAATTTCAAAAAACAAAATATGTTTTAATGTCAAAAATTGTTATGTGAACTAATTTAACCTTATTTAAATTTATTTGTCATCCAGAAAGAATGAAAACTGACTTTAACTGGGTTTTAATTAACACACACACACACACACACACACACACACACACACAAAACAAAACTAAACTGTATGCAAGTATTGTTTCACGTTTGTATTGGGAATGGATGATGTATAAGCGTGTTCATGTTTCTTTTGTTTATGTCTGATGTTTGCATTGGATGAAGTGATATAATTCACCATATGGAAACACAGTCTGAACAAGGATAATGTCTCTCATTTCCATTTGATTAATAGTGTTCTGTCTCTGGTAATTTGTAGATGTTATTTGGAAGATGGAGCTTCAAAGGGTGCCTGGCTGAACCGGTCAAGTATTATTTTTGCGGGAGGTGATAAGTGGTCAGTGGATCCTCGAGTCTCCATCTCAACATTGAATAAAAGGGACTACAGCCTCCAGATACAGAATGTAGATGTGACAGATGATGGCCCATATACGTGTTCTGTTCAGACTCAACATACACCGAGAACGATGCAGGTTCATCTCACAGTGCAAGGTATGCATTTCCATAACTGCTATATTGTGAAGGACTATGCTTAGAAATGTTCAATATGTAGATATAAAAATGACTCAGAAGTAACTGACAATGTTGAAAGATATGTTGTCATTGTTTTTAGGGATTTATGTTCCTAGATTCCATTAAGTGTAATGGGTATTATACGAATCCCCACTTACCAAGATAAAAAATTATCAATTAACATCACATTATAATTGTTTGTGTATGATTCACTTTGCAACTTCCTTTGAGTTACCCCTTCAATAAATCTTTGAGAACTCCTGATTGATACATTAAAATAAATATTTGATAAACCATGATGGATGCATTAAAATATCAGAACTTTTTGAAATGTGGATAGTAACCCTTTAAAGTAATTCTGCAGCTTCCCAACACTCTGTTTCAATCCAACTTCTATATACTTTGATTAAAGTCACAATGAAAGAAGCAGCCTTCTAGAAATACTTAATTTAAATATAGAGTAATTGAAAAAATATGGTACATAATGCTTTATACTTTGATGTACTTGCAGTAGATCATAAATCATGCTAGCTAACTTGCAATCTCCAAATACAAACAGAATCATCAAATTATATTATTTTTCTTGCACACTAAAATGTAAGAGCATATTTATCCTGAACACAAATGCTTCTCAAGAAAAATGAAATTATAATGCTAATAGAATGGAAAATGTATATTTTTACCCTTTACATTATTTACTTGTGGGTTTTAGATTAATCATATGTTGGCTGCATAGAAATATTATGCTGTGGGACTCAAATGACATTGCAGCATTCCTAAGTAAAATTAATAACAAATTATATGATAATGTGGTGCCAGTGAATGCATGTTTTATTCCTAACAAGAATGCTGAGTAAGCAAGTTATTTGTATTACTTCTGAGTTAACCCTTCAAATAATTAACACTAAGTATTGATTCATGCAAGCAATTTACATCTGGAAAAGATTGTCAATCTACAATTTTATTAACTGAGCTTTATTTCCTCATATAAATGTAAACTTGAATTCAAATACAGCTTTAATCAGTAAATTGTTTAACTTTTTGATAAAAAATTTATTAGTTAAACAGTTAACTTTAAGGAAGAAAGTATAAATTGAGGATTAAATCAGTGAATTTCATCAATAGCTTTTCTTATTAGAGATCATTGCAGACAGTAAGAGTCCCTTATTTAACATAATAGGAGAATATGGCCGTTTTCAACAAAGTCCATATTTATTTCGAGATTATCCAAAGATTCCAGAGAGCAGGAGTTTGTCCAGCTTCAAAAGCTGACATTGGATGACAAGTCAGAAACACATTTCTTCTGTTATCCAGAACTAATCCTATTCTCTTGTTCAGTTCAGCACCCTTTGACTCCAGTTTCTGGCTCAGAGACTTCAAAAGATTTTTATTCCATAGGAAAATGTAAACTTGGACACTAATACATTTGAGCCACTTGAGATACAGACATTTTGCTTATTGTAGGTTTAAATGATATATTTTAGACACTGAATATATCTTTCGATCATTTTTTCCATTCTTTCTTGTTCCAGGTTAAGCCCACACATTTAAACCAGACTATGGATATATAAGCCCCACCCAGCCAGGCACTTGTGTAATTTCCATAGGATTTCTTTGCATAACTTTGCATTACATAGACTGTTTAACATTGCACACATTTTTAAAGCCATTACATTCCTTACTCTGACACTCTTTTTTGCTGGCCGTTTGCTGATGGTGAACTTTTGAGCACCATTTCAAGGAATGCACCTCTCAAATGTTTTTATCAGTATAATATTTTGGTCCTCTAGAAAAAGAAAATGTCTGTTACTGTGTTGAAAGTGTGTGGTTGGGTCACATTAAAAGCTAATAATTTTACAGTATTTATGAACATAATTACTTATTAGAAGTTGATTGGCATGTAAGCAGTTTTCCAATTACATTAATAAAGTTCAGGGAATACATTAATAGGCTTGTCAGTCAATTCAAGAACTAAGTAAATGTCATAAAAAGTCAACCCCACTTAAGCTCCATTTCCTCTCAAAGGTTGAAAATAAACTGGTGTGCTCATCTCTTCAGTCTATACATTTGTTTGGTTGTCTGGTGCTCAGTGTACCTGGACAGTTTTGAAGTGTATGTTCTTTGCCAAACATTTTGTTAAGTCTTTACTCACCGAGATAAGGAAACGTAGCGAGGGAAAGAAGAGTATTAATCAGTGATGTCAAACAAACATTGGCTGATAAAAATAAAGCTCATTTTTAATTGTAGCAACTATGCACTCAAGGGAGGTATTTAAAGATAAAATCAGTATAGGGGATAATAAAGGATAGTTTGCCAAGGCAGACATCGTACATGGGACATTTTTTGGTGCTATTAATCTTTTAGCGCTATCAATATCAATGAATAGAGCAATAAGGAAGCAAAAACACTGGAATATGAGTTGGAAAACCTGGATTCCAATTCTGAAATTTTCCTCATGAGATGGGTAATTATAAAGCCTCTCTTAACTTTGAGGACTCAGATCTCAAGGTCCATGGTAGTCAAGACCAAAAAGACAGATTAAAAAAAAAAAAAAAATCCACTGTGATTATTTGCTTTTTATTTGAAAGGGGAAAAAGTGATTTCAGTTAAAAAAAATAAAAACACATTCTATAACACTTGTATAACATTTGTATTATGCACCGTGCAAACTAATTTTTACACAATACCTAGCATTTACTCTGCCAGTATGCTTTATTTATCTCCATGTTTTTCTTTTACCAGCTGAGCAGAACAATGTATGTACTCATGGAATTTGAAGAATGTTGGTGAATTGGAGTTTTGCTTCAAGGGGTGGAAATTGGCTAATAGACTCAGTAAAAAAATTACTTATGTATAATATGATGCTGATAAATCAAGTTACCTAATTGTTCAGTGTTTCAAGTCATGTGGTTCAGCATTTACTGAGTGCAATCTTTCTTGTTCATGAGTATAAAAAGGTGCTGTAGCACTTGTTATAGAAATCAGAGATTACTATTACAATACTGTAATGACTGGAAACATAACATGTCAGTGCTGTTCACTTAAATACATGACAGGGATGGTTCCTACTTTGAGTCCATGTTTAAAGTCTAGGTTCTGTACAGCACAAAATAGACACTGATAGGTGTTGTATAATAAGTAAATATATACACAGCAGCTCCAGCCAATACTTGATTTTAGCCTTGTGAGGCTATGAATGAGGACCTAGCTAATATGTCTCTGGACAGAAACTGAGATAATAAATATATGGTGTGTTATGATGCTCCCCACCTTCCACAATATCTATGAACTGTTCATCACTCAACTTGTACTCTTTTAGGGAGATATACTCTAGGTTTTCTCTATGCAGAGAAGAAGATTTGACTAGCACATAACTCTATGACCAAAATAACATCTCAAGGGTATTCAACTTCCCAGGGCATTCTAATGACCTCAGGGTATGTGACTTACCTAGAATATTTATGATAGATAGGGTGCTACTCTTCCCCTTCCAAGGATGTGCTTATGAGGTGTCATCAACACACAGTATTTATTGGTCAACCCTTTCGAAGATAGATTCAGCTCTAGAGAATCAGCTTGCCCAGAGCAACCAATATCTGATGACTCATTGAAGCAGGGAGTACAAAGGCTCCTTTCTTTCAGCCTAAAGAAGGTTATTCTGATGGGCCATTGGGCTCCAGAGAGCTGGAGCTGTTGACTGGCATGTACCGCAGTTTACCTTCTTGCTTTGTTCAGTCCTATTTTCTTCCTTCTCCAGAGATTTATCACAAGGATATTCCCTAATAAATGTCCTTCACTGTAAACTCCATCTCATTTCAGTGTTTGCTCCCCAAAGATCCTCAACTATGACAATATTAGATCCTTGCCTCCAGCTTACTCATTGTTTTGAGAAAGGCTTTGTAAAGTGGAAAGAAAACACATTCAAACACCATTTATTATTGACAGTCTATTTTATATTGGAATGATTCAGACGGACTTATAAAGAAGTGTTTAGTCCACCAAGATAAATAAGAGAAATCTGAAGCAAGCCGTAAGGTAAGAAGAGCAGGATACATCAGAGGTGAGGTTAGATCGTGAAATTTGTGACATGATTTCTATATGCTGTTGATGCTTGGTAAAAAAAAAACAAATAAAAGTTCTAAAATTTATAGCAGCCAACACAGCAAGAGAACAAGATCAGCTATTCATTTCATGGTCCATAAGGTGAAAGCTTATTGTTCTTACTACCCTGATCCTGTGACTCAGAATGGAGAAGCCTTTCTGCTGAGTCATCTCAGAATATCACTGTGAGCTACAAGGAACATCTCAACAGGAAGTAAGTGTATCGCTCTCACAGCCTTTATTCATGGGTTTGTTCCTTATAGTACATTTCAGTATAACCTGAAGTTCAGGGAAGTTAAAACAATTAATTAAAAATCTAAAAGTAAATCCAATAAGATGCTAGTTCAATACCAGGGCAATAGCTTTTTTATTATTTTCTAATCTATGAGTAAATTTTAGGACCCATCCTTCCTCAGTCAAACCTCCACAAATATTATTTCCTTCAGTCGGGTGTTTGAATAGGAATTTAGGTACAGATATTTTAAAATTATACTTACCAGTGAATAGCTGGTGAGCAATTATTCCATATGGCCATAGTATAGGGCCATGTTCTTTGAAGACCAGCATATCTTAATCTACTGTTAACATCTTTTTCATGAACAATAAAGCCTTGACAAGGTACATGCTGGAAGAGGAAGACCCCACACTTCTGTGCCAAGTTGAGCAGATGGGCAATAACACAGCATCAGAAGGCATAGGCCTGCCTTCCTCAAAAGACCTAGAGAAAGGAAAAGCTATACTCATCAAAAAAGCATGTCAAAATGCCACATATATTAGAAAATTCAAGGCATTGTTCTGCAACAGTAAATATTTCAGACTTTCAACAAGCTAAAAAATGAAACTAAAGGAAAATTGTCATCACTAGGAAAAGTTTTACAAAGCCCATAGATGTCCAAATAGTTATTGACTGAATGCAATGATA